TTCTCCAACGATTGCCGATTCTCCAACGATTGAAACTGTGAAACCGACGAGGACGAGGACGAGCTTCGATTCTAGCGCATTTAGAGGGAAAAAGGGACTAGAATTGGTTTTGACCAAAATAATTAAACAGCTATCAAAGGACAATCCAAAGTTCGACGAGGATTGGTCGCTTGTGAGTAGTTGGAAGTATAGTATTGGAAAATATGGAAATGTTTCCATATTGGATGGACCATATCGACATCATTACAAATAGAAAAGATTCTATTAAGAATGAGTTGTCATGAGGAAAATATGGAAGCGTGTTCATATTAGGAAGTAAATATTGAAAATCTATGTCTAGATTAGAAACTTTTATGCAAAAGGATGTTCAAAGGAATGTACTTTGAGTGAGAGACATCATATCTAAGGAATTGCTTGTAACAATCTCCGATAGAGGACTTTGTAATATCATTGACAATAGTCTTTGTGACTTTGGTGCAGTGACATTACGAAAGAATCATTGCATAGGATGTTAAAATCTAGCATATTCTATAAGTAGCAAGAATTTGATATTCTTTCACTTATGAAAATGGATTTGGAGTTGTGAAATGAGAATGATTGGAAATGTGTGAAATTTGTCTATTTCACAAAAGTAAGAACTATAGGTAAACATTGTGTGCATGCTAGGTGCATGGGACAAGTGTAATAATTCAAGTAAGAAGTTGATTACCCGAAACGACAAATAATGAGTAATCAATATGGTGATAAATAAAAGGCGTTTTATTTATACTCAAAGGTTTGAGGCCATATGGGATTAGTATTATTCTTGTGTTTCACATTTGCATGTTTTGACTTCCAGAATAATTGAGTTTATTAAGAATAATCGAATTATTCAAACGGGCCACAGTCATTCATATGCTGGAAGTAGATATGAATGAAGACTGTCGTGAATTGGTGTGTGGATTGTCTAGAAGAGTATTAGACATAAGCAAATGTTTGTTGCAAAGTTCATGAGTACTTATGAATATGATTTGAGCATTGGATTAAACCCACGCTCACTTGGATCACTCCATGAATTGTATTACGAGTGATTGGTGAGACGATAACATCTTATATTCTTGAAACTGAGATGTGTGAGTTGTATCTTGCTAATCAGTTGCACATTGATAATATGTAAACGCACTAGTAACTTGGTGTTATAAAACATATTGTTGTGTGTGATTTGGTTAGTGAGTGCAAGCAAGCATTGTATCAAAGTTTATCCATTCCTTTTATTCAAAGAATAAAAGCGGTATCTTTTGGGGCCCTCGATGGTTTAGTGATGACAAACGTAAATGCTCGGCCGGGCTAGGGCTAATTTGATTTGTTCAATTATTCTGTCGTCATAAATCAGAAATCGAGATATAGTACAAAGAGAATGATGTGAAATCATATCTCATACGATATCTAGAATGGAGGAATATATGATCCCTTATCTAAGGACACGCGTATCTGATAGGATCAGAGTTGACAGTGGCTTTGGAAAGCTACGATTGCAGATCAGGATCTGAAGTCATATGCAGAATAGTTATTAGACTTATCCAAGTGGGAGACTGTTGGATTAGTGTCTAAGTCCATAACTATTTTGGTATGTACTTGACCCGATGGTGCATGGTCCTTTTGGGTTGCCTTCACCAAAGCAACTTGATTGGAGAAACAAATAAAGAGAGAGAGGATATTATGATTTATTAATATGTTATAAGAATAATATATTAAAGGAGAAATCATATTTGTTTAATTAATATTGGTCAATAATTAATTAGGAATTAATTTTGTGATCAAGTGTAAGTAATTAAACTAGAGGGGCTGATTTGTAATTATGTGATAGTTACAAAATGAGGTAAGGATTATCTTAAATATATGGTGAACGAATTTGAGGTGATAAGGCCTTAGAATTCGACTATGATAAGGATTCAAGGATTATCTTATGGGTTGCTTTGTGAATAAGCAACTAGATAAGGATAATGACTGAAACCCTATCTCTACACCTATATAAACACCCCTTAGCTCATGAATTCGTGTATCCCTTCATAAAGAGTCCTAAGGATGAATTCTAACCTCTCTCCTCTCTCTTTATACCTTCTCCATTTGCTCTTGGTGTTTGTAAGCAATTAGAGGAGTGACACTTGTGACTCTAAGCATTCCAAAGTCAATTCAAGGTGGAATAGGGATTGTTATTGCTACATAACAATCAAGGTAACATTATAAACTCATTTTTATGTTAATATGGTTACTTGCATGCTAGAATTAGGGTTTATAGTCTTGGATTCAAAGCATGTACAATAGAGAAACCTAGATCCAAGCATTAGGGTTTGTATGAGCACATAGGATGTCTTATGACAAAAAACCCATCAGTGGTATCAGAGCCATTGGTTTGGTTTCAATTGTATGAACTTGATATATTAGTGTTTATTGCCAATAAACCCTAAGAGGCTTGGGTTTTTCGAGATTAGGGTTTGCAAACCCTAATTTGCAAGAGTTTGAATAAGATCTTCAAATCCTTTCCTTAAACCCTTAAATTTCGAAATCTAAGGTTTGTTATAATCCCTTGTTTTTCGAAATTTTCCTCCTCCCCAAGATAAGATCCTAATTTTTAGGGATTTGGATTATCCCATATCTTGTAATTATCCTCTAATTGTTATATATGGTAATTCAAGATCTTGCATTATCCATCCATATTTTTGAAATCTATATAGATATTTAAGGGATTAGGATAACTTAAATGTATAAATGGTAATTATCCTCATTATTTAGATAATCCTTTATGATTTAATAATTAAATTAATAGTCTAATTTAAGATAATTATTAAATCAAGAGTTTTAATATTTAAAATTTTAAATTTAAATGTCATAAATTCGAAATTTTAAGATAGATTAAAACTAAATTGTTTTGAAATGTTTCAAAACTTGCCCTCAAGTTTTGGAATTTAAAAGTTAATTAAAAGTTGATTAGGAATGTTAAATTCTAAAACCCTAGTTTTGAAAAATTAGAGGAGTGACATTTGTGACTCTAAGCCTTCCAAAGTCAATACAAGGAGATTTGGGATTGTTATTGCTACATAACAATCAAGGTAACATTATAAACTTATTCTTATGGCTAATATGATTATTTGAATGCTAGAATTAGGGTTTATAGTCTTGGATAACTTGCATGTATAATAGAGAAACCTAGATCCAAGCATTAGGGTTTGTATGAGCACATAGGATGTCTTATGACCAAAACCCATCACAAACTTCATTGAAGATGGCGTTCTTCGTCATATTATTAGTATGCAAATCAAAATTTTATACAAAATCAAAATTAGAAGCTAACATAAAAAAATGAACTTGAATTAGCAGGGTAATTACTTTTTCGTTTTGTTCATATTTTGGTAACTTTCTTTTTGTACAAATCTAAATAACAAACTTGTTGGAAATGTTCACATATGACCATTATGACCGATTGTAATGTGCTACAGCCGATCATAAATGATCATATATGAACACTTCTAAAAAAATCGTTACCTAGAAGCAAGGTTGTAGAACTCGTTACTCGGTAACTGTTCGGCCGACTACCGAGTAGCGAGTACTCAGGAATACTCAGGAGTACTTGGATTCGGTAATTCATGTATAAATATTTTTAGAGAACTTATATATGTCAAAATCACAAGTTAAAATCTTATTTTGATTGAACTATATAACAAAATTAGATAAATGTGTATACACAAAAACTGAAAAACACATAATGATCTTACTTCATGAACAATTACTGAAAATTTAAGGTATATATTTAGTAATAATCACATGTGTTTGTGTTAAATAATTAATCGTTAAGTATATTATACATATTAATCATCGAGTTGATCGAGTTTTATAACACTACTCAGTTTAATAAGGGGCCGATCGGGGAGTACTCGAGATTCTGTAACTCGCCTCGGTAAGAGGCGGAGTAGCGAGTACTCGGAGGAGTAATCGGTCAACTCGGTGAGTTTTACAACACTGGCTAGAAGTGTAAAAATAATTACTCAGATGCAAACAAAATAAAAAAATAATTACTTTGATAAATCAATTTTTCATTGTATCTATAACATAAGTATAAAAAGTTATTATAATAATATTCAGAGCATAAAATAGAAAAAAAATTTGGATTTATTTTTAATCATGTTTAACTTTTAGAACATCCATAATGATAAGTTCAATAAGAATTAAATGATGTGACAAGTCTATTTATTATTCATTGATGAAACTTTATTATAATAAGATAAGAATCGAATGATGTGAAAAATCTATTTATTAGAAAAAAATTTGGATTTATTTTTAATCATGTTTAACTTTTAGAACATCTATAATGGTAAGTTCAATAAAAATTAAATGATGTGACAAATTTATTTATTATTTATTGATGAAACTTTATTATAATAAGATAAGAATCAAATGATGTGAAAAGTCTATTTATTATTCATTGATGAAACTTTATAATAATAAGATGACATCTTGATATTAATTAGATTTGAAGTTCAATTGCCCATTGAACTTTTTCATAAAATATATATATATATATATATATATATATATATATATATATATATATATATATATATAATTTTCAGATGTACATTATAAAGTAGTTTTTGTAATTTTCGAATTTTATAGATTTAAATATATTATAGTAAAAAAAAAAATTTGATAGAGATATAAATATAAAAAATACAGTGCAGTACATTAAACTCGAAGAGTTCGATGCATAGTATTAATGATATAATTTAATCATTGGCAATTTATGATGTAAAGCCAAAAGGCCACGTCTATTTGATTATCGACAAGTGTTGATCGCTAATCGTAAGTAGCACACCATAAACTGACGTGGCTTCCCTACTCAATTTCCACGTGCCAATCGTCTGCCTTGCAATTTAAAAACAACTTCTCTACTTTATAAATATACCTTTTCAGTCACGCTTAACGACTACACATCAACCGTCGTTTTATTTTTTCTCAAGACGAAAATGAGTCAGGAACAACCAAGACGACCACAACCTGAAGATCAAGAGCCCATCAAATATGGCGACGTATTCCAAGTCTCCGGCGAAATAGCCAACAAGCCCATCACCCCACAAGATGCCGCAACCATGCAAACCGCCGAGAACATGGTTCTAGGTAAAATCCAGAAAGGTGGACCTGCCGCCGTCATGCAGTCAGCTGCTTCGGTGAATGAGAGCCGCGGTGTCGTAAGCCATTACGACGTAACTAGCGACACCGGAGATCAAGGTGTCACTGTATCCGAAGCTGTAGTCGCCGGTCATCACATCGTAACCGAGTCTGTCGGCGGAGAGGCAAAATAATATATAGAACTTGAACTTTGATTCACATTTTTATTTATAATCGAGTACTTCCACACAATTAAATTGAAGTTTTGAATTTTTACAGGTGGTGGGACAATACGTAGGAACCGGTACGGCGTCATCTCCTCCTCCGCCTATCTCCGTCGGTGACGATCAGGTTACAATTGGAGAAGCATTGGAGGCTGCTGCCATATCTGCTGGAGAGAAACCGATAGACCAGAGTGATGCTGCAGCCGTACAAGCGGCGGAAGTCCGAGCAACCGGTCGTATGCAGGTGGTACCGGGTGGCGTGGCAGCGAAAGCTCAGGCTGCGGCCTCTCAGAACGCCCGAACTATGCGTGATGAGGACAAGACAAAGCTTGGAGATTTATTGATGGTAAGTATTGATCGAGTTTCTTGATATCCGTAGATTAACAGGAAGAAGATCAGTTGAAATGAGTCGATATAATATGGATGCAGGATGCGAGTACATTGCTGCCGAGAGACAAAGCAGTGACGAGGGAGGATGCTGAGAAGGTGATTGGGGCGGAGATTAGGAACCAGCCGGAGTTGGCTACGTACCCTGGTGGGGTTAGTGCGTCGATGGCGGCAGCGGCCAGGCTCAACCAGAAGTGAAGTGTGTATGTATATATATGTGGTGCACGTTAGCACGTGCATATATAACGTCGGTTGTTTTTGTGTGTGATATGCATAAATATGAGGTGGCGGGAAATGTCGAGATAATCTGACTTTGTATGAAACTATATATATAAATGTCATCTTTAAGCATAAACATATAAGTATGTCTTTTCCTATAGCTGATAACGTCCGATAATATTTCATTATTAAATATTTTTCTTTATCATTTATAAGTATATCTTTACCTATAGCTGATAACGTCCGATAACATATCATTAAATCTTTAAATGTTTTTCTTTATCATTAATAAGTATGTCTTTTCGATAAGGTCCCATAACATATCATTAAATCTTTTCCTTGTCAAGTTTTTAACTAGTAATTCATCAAATTTAATGTCTATTTTAGTTGTGCTATTAGCTTTAACTTTTAGTGTTAATGACCAAAAAAAACTATTATACTACGTCATTTCTTTGGTTAACCATCTAATCTTTTTGTGCTAAACAAAATTGATTTTTTACCATTACCATTTGTATTTGTATTTGTATTAAAAAAATCAATCAATTTTCATTATTAAAAAACCACGTGGTTAAACCGACTTTTTTGAAAAACATACGTGTTGAAACATTTTACCAAAATTTTGTGGTTTTTTTCTTCGGTTATTACCAAAATTTTGTGGTTTTTTCATAAGTTATTAACAATTGTTCGGTTATGGTTAACCAAACTTTTGAAAAAATAATATTGTGTTCTTTCGTAATTATTCCTTTTCTAAATTATACAGGCTACAATTCAAACAATTGTTCGGCTTAGAAATAAGCACGATAATATAAAAAATATCTACATCAAAACATAGATAACCCAAACATTAAAAAAAAATATTTACATCAAAATAGATAACCCAAACATTAAAAAAATATGTCGAAACATTAAAAAAAAAAATATTTACATCAAAACATAGATAACCCAAACATTAAAAAAAATATGTCGAACATTAAAAAAAATATATTTACATCAAAACATAGATAACCCAAACATTAAAAAAATATGTTGAAACATAAAGAAACTCTATATTTTTTACTCTATATTTTTTATACCAATATGTACAAAAAAAAAAAAAATTAAGTTCATTTAAAAAAAATGAACATACAATATTTTTAAATTTATATCGAAACGTTAATCAATTCAAATTTATACCGAAACATCTATAAAAATAAACACATAATTTTTTTATAAAGTAGGAGTTTTACAAAGCTAAAAGTTGAGATAGTTAAAGTTGTATTTTACAAAGTCCATGAATGGTAAAATGGGTAAACATGAAAATTTGAAAAACGGAAATGGTTAAAGTGATATTTTAGAAATTCAAAGTTTAAGGGGTAAAAGATTTTTTTTTAAATAAATGATGGAGAATGTAGATGATAAAAGTAATATTTTAAAGAGTCCAATTTTAAAAGGGGAAAAACATTATTTTAGAAAGTACAAAAGAAATGTTCCACATAGATTTATAAATAAATGGCTGGAAAAAAAAATAAGATAAATAAAAGGGAGTAAAAGCAAAAAGAGTATACACCGAAGGAGTTAAATGAAAGATAATAAAAATGTAAGGGAGAGAAAACAAAAGTAATAGCCACCCACATTGGTTTTTAGAAGATATATAATTATTCATTTTCTAAATTATATATGCTACAATTCAAATAAAATTCTCTTTTATCAATTATAAAGATAAACTAGGTTTATAAGATGCGCAATACACAATTGATAAGTTAAAATAACATAGATAATAATTGTAACAAATAAGTGGAATAGAAGATTACTTCACGTAATTAATTACCAAGTATTTTGTATAATATCTTAAAAATACTGAGTAAAATTTTTACTTTTAAAATAAATCAAAACTATTTATTCATTATCCCAAAAGACGATCAAAATAAAAATATTCTCAAAAAAGTCATAGTAAAATCATAAACAATTATTGCGGAATGAATCTCCCTTTCCAAGGGATGTAGTGAGATTAAGTCGGATTCTTCCTTTTGAAACTGGAAGTACCTGAAAAAGTTCAAACCAAAAAACTGTAAGCACAAAAGCTTAGTGAGTTTTTCAAAATATCACATATCATACAAATTAGTAGGCCCAACCCAAAGGTATATTCCAACACTACAATCATGGGTCCAACCCTCGGGTATGTTTCAACCCAACATATAATCATGGCCCAATCCTAAGGGTATATTGCAACCCAATACATATCAATGGGTCCAAACATGGGGTTTCTTTCAACCCAAACATACAAATATGGGTCCAGCCATGGGGCCTAGACCTGGGGTTTATTTCATCCCAATCATACATGCAAGAGTCACACAAACACCAATCGGCCTACATAACACAATCCAATGGGTAGGCATTGGTGCCTTCAACCCATAAGTATAGTCAGAAAAAGACTCACCTCAACTACTCATGAAACGACCCAAAATACGACCAAAAATTTTTTGTTTTGATAATACTAAAAATCACATCATATATAATAAAACCACAGAATGAGCAACTCAAATATCATAGTACTGTGTCAAACAAATCTGTATCAATCATAGTAACATCCAAAATAAACTCCCAGGAAAAACTGAAGTTGTGGTGTGTGCGATGCCATCAACCCGAGCTCTTCCCTTTGCTTACGGAAGTACCTGAAACCAAAATTGAAACTGTAAGCACGAAGCTTAGTGAGCTCCCCCAAACTACCACATACCATAGAATAACACATAAACAACTATTAGGCCTAGCCCACTGCATCGGACCGAAGTCCGGAAACTACATTGGACCGAAGTATTGAAACTGCATTGGACCGAAGTTCGGAACTAACCAGGGCCTTACCTTTTGCATCGGACCGATGTCCGGAAGCTGCATCCAGTCGAAGTCCGGAACTAATTGGGACCTTGTCCCCTGCATCGGACCGAAGTATGGAATTAACTGCATAGGACCGAAGTCCGGAACTGACTGCATCAGACCGAAGTTCGGAACTGACTGAGCATAACATAGCATAGCATAGACATATCAACTGGCATAAGCACATATATTGCATACTGCATCCGACCGAAGTCCGGAACACATAACACAAAGACATGCTTGAATCACAAAGACATCAAGCACACTGAACTACTACATCAGATCGGAGTCCGGGACTACTGCTAGCTAAATGGGCCGGCATTGTGGCCGTAGACCCATTCCTACTGGAAGGAAAACTCACCTCGTAACGCTGCCTGTTGAGATGCTAACTCTACCGTTGGCTGGTTGCTACTCCGGAACTGTCCGGCTACAAATCCTACAAAACACTAGGTTAGGTATTGATAAATGCCCTCAGGGTAAAATGACTATTTTACCCCTGGTCAAAGTCAACTCCCTGGTTAAATTCAACTTTCAGTTGACCTGATTCGCCGAGTTGAGCCGTCAACTCGTCGAGTCCCTATCATCCATTCTAGTCCTCTACCCGCTTCTCATCGTCAAGTTTGGCAAAGACTCGACGAGTTCTTCTTCGATGCTAACATCGAGTCTAACATCATCCGACTCGCCGAGTTGCATGAACAAATCGCCGAGTCCTCCTTCAACATATGAACACGTCCAGACTGCGACTCGCCAAGCCATATGAACTACTCGTCGAGTCTGAAGAACAACTTGTCGAGTTGAAGAACAACTCGTCGAGTCCCAAGCATGTTGTTACTATACAGTCGATTTCAATCGGTTCCAATGCTTCCAAAACATAGATATGAGCTTCTAGGACTGGTTTTACACGTAAAGTTTCCAACTTTACATGCATGCACAAGCGTATGAAGCTAAAATACCCAAAATCAACAAATACTAAGCACTTAGGGTTTGGAACAAGGCCAAGATCGCATAAAGGTGGCTATAAAGAGTTCTTGGGTTCAATAACGTCCAAATCTAAGGTTTCCATCCAAAGGAGAGCCCATATATCAAGTTTTGAATCATAAAAGGTTCCAAATAAGACATAACAAGCATAAAAAGGGTTTTAATGGAGGAATACACAAGGTCATAACTTCATTACCTGAATGAGAAACATATGGAAGCTAACTCCTGGATCTCCTTTGTCTTCTATGGACCTTCTCTCCTTCCTTCTCTTCCAAAGCTTCCAAGCTAACACAATCACACTCAAACTAGACAATGGGGCTAGCGTTTACAAGGGAAATTCTCTAAAGGTGCTGAAGGTTGGGGTGGGAGGCTATAATGACATTTAAATATGGTACAAACCCTTGAAATTAGGGCTTCATTCAGACAAGTGGACTCGCCGAGTCCCAACGTATGGACTCATCGAGTATCCAACTCCATTTGCGCGATTATCCCATCTCAACTCGATGAGTCGGGCTACAGACTCGTCGAGTACCCCTTAATAAATGAAAAATACTTTATTTAAATTACATACCAGAAATGGGGCGTTACAACTCAACAGAAACCCAACTACTACCTCAACATTAGAACAACCAACCCAAGCTTCCTAAAACCAAACCAAGACCAGCCTTTAGTTAAATTCTCAATTCTACTCAAGTTTGATCAAAAGTCAAACCGGTCAACAAGTCAATGGTCAAAGCCAGGTCAAAATTTTTAATCAACAACCCTCCACATCGTGGCCCTCCTTGGCCACGTCAAGGGCACTAAATGCCAAAATAGTCGAAGATTCCTCAGTCGCAACGATGTAACGTCTGGTTCCTGGTATGTATTTAACTTATAATTTATTTCCTTTTATAGAGCAACTCGACGAGTTGGGAGCCCCAAACTCGTCGAGTAGAGATCATAAGGGCCGCATATTTTAAGTAACCTACATGACGAGTTGGGAGGCCTCAACTCGACGAGTAGGTTGGCAGACATGAAACCCTTCTGGGGTTTGCACCTTATTTAAACGCCTCAAACCCCAAGTTGTTGACCTCATTTCCAGCCACCAAGTCCCTAACCCTAAATCTCGAAACCCTAGAGCTATTGTGAGTGATTGTGAGCCATTATAAGTG